ATTATGCCCCTTTTTACAATATGTAATACAAGCCTCTGGTGTCCCCAGAATGTTTCTGTGAAGTTTCAGCTCAAAATACTCCACAGATCATTTATTATAACATTTTGAAAATGCCTATTTTGAGTGGAAGCAGAAACAGGCTGTTTTTCGGGCCTGTCTCTTTAAATGCAAATGAGCTGCTGCGCCCCGCCCCCTTTTCCAGAATAGAGCTGCGCCATTACAGCTCGGACCTGCTAAAAACATCTGTTTTGGTTCTGATTATCATGTTTATCGTGCTGAAATCATGTGTTTTAAGTCATATGAGTTCAGATATAGGGTTTTCTGAGCGCACACATCTGAAGCACACGCACAGAAAGCGGCTGTCACAGCATGCAAGTACTAAACTAAGCTCTCATTCACACACAAGCTTACGTTACAAACACACATGAGTTACAAAAACAGTGAGTTATGTCTGTGAAGGTAAACAGCTGGGAAATAAATCACATGTTTATTTTAGAGCTGTGTGGCAGCAGCAATATACAGTAAATACATCAATAAATGCTCTGCTCTGTCGTCTCCTCTGAGGCTGGGACTCTAAACAGTGTTCTGTGCTCGTCTCTGCAGCCAAACACAGAACAGTTAGCATGTTTCGCTCAAACTTTCATCATAGTGTTAGAACTGTAACATTGTCGCTTGCGAAATCAAAATGACGGAGCCGTGGGTGTAAACTTACAGATTAAGGGGCGGTGATATTATAATGAGATCCCTTTGCGTCATCACTAGGGGAGCGAAACCAGACTCACTCTTTTTCTCAGACGCTTGCAGAAAAAGGCTTCCCAAAACAAAGTTACTGGGTTAATCTTTTTCACGTTTCCTTGGTTGGTAGATGCACCGGAGACCTGATTATAGCACTTAACACCTGGAAAAGTCAGATTTTCATGATATGTCACCTTTAAATAGCATTAAACATTTCAGAATATCAAGGGTTACTAGTTTAATGTTTAAATTTATCTTCAATGTCCAGCATTGTATATACACCACATTTTCCAAACACACTAGAAAGGACTTACAGGACTTATTCTTTTTACAAATGTAACACTAGTGTACCAGGTTTTTTTTGTTTTTGTTTTTTTTGCTTAGTTTAGTATTAAAATGTTGTATGTACAGCCCATTTTTTGCATGCATGTAAATATAGGTTATGGTTTCCTCTGTTAAATCATTGTGCAATAAAACACTGTCTACATAAAACAACTTCAAATATGACAATGCATGTATTGTTTTTTATTGAACTGGTGTGGATAAATGACATTGAAGCTAACCAGAGGGAAGAAAAAATAAAAAGATCTTACCATTTCAAATATGTCTCCTACTAGAAAGGACTTACAGGACTTATTCTTTTTACAAATGTAACACTGGTGTACCAGGTTTTTTTGTTTTTGTTTTTTTTGCTTAGTTTAGTATTAAAATGTTGTATGTACAGCCCATTTTTGCATGCATGTAAATATAGGTTATGGTTTCCTCTGTTAAATCATTGTGCAATAAAACACTGTCTACATAAAACAACTTCAAATATGACAATGCATGTATTGTTTTTTATTGAACTGGTGTGGATAAATGACATTGAAGCTAACCAGAGGGAAGAAAAAATAAAAAGATCTTACCATTTCAAATATGTCTCCTAGACAGAATGAGGTTACCTTGAGATTGAATGGAAACTTTTGCTTGAGTCTCCTGCTTCTCAAACTTGTCTCCTGAGAACTCTAACACTCTCACAATGGTCTTCTTTAAAGCTTTAGAAGAGATCTCAACAACATCACACACTGTGCTCAGATATTTCTCTTTAGCTAGAGACTCTGGATCGCTCACATTTGTCTCCTCTAAATTTCAGAAGTGATCTCAATAATTTACAAAGTGTGCACCAAGTCAAATGCCTCAATATGAGCTCAAACTTTTCTTCCATATAATATGTATTAATAATCAAATTAGTCAATTAATAATCAAGACTGAGCCATAAGCCATTTATGTGCCTTTCAGCAAAGAAAGCTCCAGGGTTACATTTTCTGTAAATCAGCTTTGATGAAGGCATCCGCTACATTACTATTTCCAACAACAAATGATGTGCCTAATAAACCTTGTCCTATAAAAAGTAACATTATTCTTATTTCTGCATAATCTCTCTTTCTCAATATAGCCTTTAACTCTGAATTTATGATTTTCCCCATTTTATTTAGTGCTTTTCAAGACTTGACTTGATGCACACTTTGTAAAGTTGTTGTGATCTCTTCTAAAGCATTACAGGAGACAAATATGAGACCCCCAGATTATTTAGCAAAGAGAAAAATCCAAGCACAGTGTGTGATGGTGTTGAGATCTTTAATCTAAGCTTTAGAGGAGACAAATGTGAGAGATCCAGAGTCTCTAGCTAAGGAGAAAAATCTGAGCACAGTGTGTGATGGTGTTGAGATCTTTAATCTAAGCTTTAGAGGAGACAAATGTGAGAGATCCAGAGTCTCTAGCTAAGGAGAAAAATCTGAGCACAGTGTGTGATGGTGTTGAGATCTTTAATCTAAGCTTTAGAGGAGACAAATGTGAGAGATCCAGAGTCTCTAGCTAAGGAGAAAAATCTGAGCACAGTGTGTGATTTTGTTGAGATCTCTTCTAAAGCTTTAAAGAAGACCATTGTGACAGTGTTAGAGTTTTTGTCTCAAGAGACACGTTTGAGAAGCAGGAGACTCAAGCAAAAATCTCCATTCGATCTTAAAGTAACCTCATTTCTGTCTATGAGATATATTTGAGATGTTAAAGAGATCTCACTTTAGATTTTTCTTTCCTATGGGTTATTACACCTGCATCTTTGGTCCTTTGGGGGTTTTGCTTGTAAGACCAAAGTCCCAAGAGTGGGTCGTGCTACTTTAGACATTAACAAAGATATTTTGGGATAAATGGATGACTATTCCCTGCTCAACTTCTCACCACAGGAGAGGAATGAAAATCATCTACAGTACTAACATCGCCTTTAGATAATGTCTAAAATAGCATCTCAGGTGAAATTCTGGACATAGAATGAGTCTAATAGTAAGTCAGGTAAGTAAGTAATACACTATATGGACAAAAGTAAAGGAACACCTGACTGTAACACCAACAAGGACTTTAATGACATTGAATTCTAAACACACAGACATTAATAACACTGCCAGTGTGATATAGTGCAGGTGTCTTCTGAGATGGGTGGTGGCTGAATACAAACCAAATCATTTTGATACTCAAATGTCTCTTTACAGCACGACTGAGGTGGATCTAAAGCCTGTCTAGATTCTGGAGTCTCAGTGTTTCACAGAAGTCACATATTAGACCACTGAACTATTAAAACACACATCTACTCTCTGATCACTGAAGCTCAAGCGAACTCAGACAATCATTCCTCTACTGTACTTCTGTTGTAAGCTATATGCTTCAGGTGTTTTTTGCACCAATGATATCAATCTGTAATCCACACTGCATATAGTATGTTACATAATGCTATCAAAACAACTCCAAACCTTGCATTTTAATTTTACATATTTACCAAGTTTAAATTAAATTCACATACTGCACTCTGCATGTTTACTTCACACAAGCTGTGAAAAGTTAATGGCTCATCTGAAATCGGTTTATAGATTAAAAACTATATACAAATTATGCAATGGCCACATTTATCAGCCTTAAATCTAACTCGGATGAAACTAGAACCGTGTTTCTTATATTCACACATTTACAGAAAGCTAAAGGACTGTGCAGTAGCCGAAGAAATTCAGATGCAATCATTTCAATTCACGTCAGTTAACTCTCATGCCATTAACCTTTTTGATAACAAAGTGTGAATATACAACACAATAGAGGCTGCGTTTTTATTACTAAACAATAAAATCTCTCACATTTCCAGAGGCTAAGGATTACTCTTAAACTTCTCGGTTCATTATGTTTATTCACGGCAAAGCCAGGTAGACTTTAAACACAATCATTAACAACACACACGTATTCAGTGCAATTATAATTACATTCAAAGCAACAGATTGTTCATTAAATAACAAAAATAAAACAAATTCACTCAATAACCCTGTGTCTGAATGTAGTTTGTTCCAAATATGAACAAAGCCTTTAATGAGAATTCCTAGTCAATTAGATAAGGATTAATTAATTCACATAACATGCATTTATGCAAGTTTCATTCAGTTGTTTTTCACACTATGTACTGGCCTCGTCACATAATGATACACAGTCACATTTACCTTAAAACTTAAGCTCCTAAAATAGAGCATAAACTAGCATAAGTGAATGGACATGAACGCTGATTTGCACACTTGAAACGCTGCATGTTTAATATTTCACACAGTGTTGTTTTCTTATTCAGATTACACATCTGAATCAACAACCAAAGCTAAAAGATACTTATAATGTCCTATTTGAAACACAAACTCGTGTGCAACCTGCAATTTGTCCTAAATAGACTGAGTTCGTACCATCTAGAGCCACAGATGATTAGGTTCCTGCTTTGTTTTTGTTCGCTCATAAAATGAACAAAGATAACTTCTGATGCCTAATACTGTTCAACAGTTGCATTTAAGGACTCGCGACATCGCATTTTTCCTCGATCCTGCAAGTTTCATAGCTCAAAACGTCCTACTCATAAACAAGGAATTTATTAATTAAGCTCAAAAGCAAATCCATGCCACAAATGAGACCAAGCAACAAACCAGTTACTATTAACGGCACTGTAAAGCAATCGAGATGAACCCACCGGTGAAATATGCCACGTAGTCGCTATGAGAGTTCGAAGCTTTGTATGCAAGTCGACTCTTATTAAAACTGTTAGCTAATAGTGGTTTAGTCCCTCACATGTCGTTTGAATGCGAGATAATCTTAGGGGTTTTGTCTCCATCTGTGTGTATTTACAGCGCAGTTTCACTGGTTCGCTCTTCTTGCTTTTTCCTAAAACAGAAAGAGAATAATCATCAGCACACAGAGTGTTCAGCACAGCTGGCGACCGAGGCAGGCGTGACGAGCAGACAAGAGGTAGAGAAATGCAGTGTCGCCGTCCCTGTAGATGCCATACGACACTAAAGAGCGGCCGTCAGAGCAGACACTGAGCGATGACCCAGCGCTGCACCCTGGGGTGGAAACCATACTCAACAAACATCTGCAAGAGACAAACACACCATCAGATCAATCCAACACATCAGATCTGACTTCAAGATGTGCTTCGACCTTCCCTACCTGCTGCTTCAGAGAAGCGACGTTCACGTGAGGGTGGACTTTTACTGTGACACAGCAGGAAGATGACGCATCTTCTACAACCACAGCTAAGCTGAAGAAGAAAAATCACATCTGTAAACATGTATCAGGATTTTAAGTTATATAAATGTATCTATATGTATAGTGGTTTCATGTTGCTTTATTAGATTTCAACAGGAAAGTCATTAACACATTCATACAAATGAAACAGTTGTGCATCTTTTCTAGAAACATGTGAAGTCTCTATAAGTGAATGTTGAATCATTCGTTCAAGAGATTCATTCAAAAATGCTGATTCGTCCCGTAATGAAACAACTGAAATCTTTATGAGCGAGTCACTGAATCATGCAGTCAAGAGATATCTACTATACTCGGAGCCTGACGAGGCACACAGACCTGATCTCCGTGTCGTCGGTGTCTCGCAGCGCTGGCTGAATGCTCAGTGTGATCTGCTGCTTGGCCAGATCTGTGGCGTAGTGCACAGCGGCACGAGTATCTCCAGCCTCGATCGCTCCAGAAAGCTCTAGACACAGCTCCTCTACAGCGGACCAGACGAGAAGAAGCAGTCACACAACGCTCACAAGATCAACTCCATTCAATGGGAACAAGATTTGTATTTAAGATCGACTGATATTGACACAGATTATTTGAATTTGCAGAACCAATATTTATTTCATGTTTTACTTGTTTTTGTTACATTTCATCTTCATATCACAACAATAAAAACATTTTTAATATCAACAATATTAAAACAACAGACTTAACAAATCTGCTAGCCTATATATTATAAATATTAATAATGACTAATAATTGCATTGTCTATAAATGGTTAAAGAGTATGGGGCCAGTTCAATATCACTGCAAACAGCTTTCTGTAAACCGTCACTTCAAGAAGTGCCACAAAAGTGTGCATTTAAATATAACAAGTTTATTTTGTGACTGCAACAATGGTGGAACTAGATGAATGATCAATAAAGAAATGAGAAAACATTAGAAAAGAAACCTTTCATAGACAGCGACAAGACACACTTCACATTCTGCAGTCCTTCATTTGAAGAATGAGAAATGCTGGCAACTGAAACAGAAAAAGAGAGCGAGCAGTGAGCAATCAGAAAGGCTAAGCATATCTGAATATGAAGCTGACAAGACGATGGCAGAAGAGTTTCAAAACCACACGCAAAAGCGCCGGTTAAAACTATTTTGGATTTTGAAAAGCCTGTTGTCTGACATCATGGCGGTGGCCCACTCCTGCGCCTCCTGCTCGCTGCGGAAGGTGAACGCGAGGCAGTCGTGGGGAGGCCTGGCGAGACGCATTTCGTGACATCGAGCTGATTTGATCTCGTACTTCACTGAGCGCAGATCAAACTCTGCCAGAGACTGAGAGAGAGAACAGATCATCATAAACCCTTCAGCTTGCTGTTAGACGGCTGGCACCGGGGCAGTAGCTTTTGTACCTTATTTACAGTGTTGGGAAGGAAATGTAACAGGTTACAGATTACAAGTTACCCTACTTAAAATGTAACAAGTAGTGTAACAACTTCAATGATTACTTCTCTAAATTTCTAATAATGTTTTCAACTGTTAATCATTTTCAAACACGTAAAGCAGGCAGGGTTAACCTTACAATAATGCTCAACACTGAATACTGTCAGACTTTCAGAATGCTTCATCACTTGAGTTAAGATTATAATTACATTTTAAAGCGCAGACACCACAAAATCAGACTTTAGCACCTCTTTTTACTTTGAGATCATTCCGAGGTAAAAAAAAAATCCTGATGCCGTTTCTGAAATCAAATCTTTGCAGCTATGACAGTAGACACTGACATCTAACAATGCCATGGAAAAACATCTTTATCTTAAAAAAATAAAGCATATAGCCTAGATAGTAGAGTTATCGAATAAGCATGTGTCCTGAAGCATTGCGGTCTTGTATTTTAGAGCAGTCGATGCACTTTAACTGATACACTGTAATAAATACTGTAGTATACTTTAGTTTTTACTATGGTAATCTACAGTGTACTGTAGTATAATATACCCCATAGTTGTAGAAAACTTAGTACAGTATTGGATAAAGTCATTTGTTTATATTGCTATAGTTGTTATATTACCACAGCAACTATAGAATTACCACAACAAATTAATTCAAGTACTTTACTACTGTATGGTTTAAAAAAACTATAGTATTTACTATAAATTACTACAGTATTTTTTCATGTGGGGAAAAATCCTGATGCCGTTTCTGAAATCAAATCTTTGCACCTATGACAGTAGACACTGTCATCTAACAATGCCATGGAAAAACATCTTTATCTTAAAAAAATAAAGCATATAGCCTAGATAGTAGAGTTATCGAATAAGCATGTGTCCTGAAACATTGCGGTCTTGTATTTTAGAGCAGTCGATGCACTTTAACTGATACACTGTAATAAATACTGTAGTATACTTTAGTTTTTACTATGGTAATCTACAGTGTACTGTAGTATAATATACCCCATAGTTGTAGAAAACTTAGTACAGTATTGGATAAAGTCATTTGTTTATATTGCTATAGTTGTTATATTACCACAGCAACTATAGAATTACCACAACAAATTAATTCAAGTACTTTACTACTGTATGGTTTAAAAAAACTATAGTATTTACTATAAATTACTACAGTATTTTTTCATGTGGGATAGACTGACATATATACAAACAGCACTGATCTGATGATATGAAAGTGAGGATAGTGAGTGACAGCTGCCTGTGTGAGAGTGTGTGTGTGTGAGAGAGAGTGTGTGTGTGTGTGAGAGTGTGTGTGTGTGAGAGAGAGTGTGTGTGTGTGTGTGTGTGTGTGTGAGAGAGTGTGTGTGTGTGTGTGTTCTTGTTTTTCTATTCTGGTGAGTACTTAGACCTGAATACACACAGACTCGTGGGGACTCGTGTCACCGTGGGGACCTAAAATGAGGTCCCCACGGGCAAAGCCCCACAGGCACCTCCCAAACAGTGTTTGGACACGCCCCATGTGTTTTTTTCAAAGTCCTCATAAGGATGGTTTTCAAGACAAAAATTTGTGTGACTGTGTAACTATGCGCTCCTGGTGGTCACACAGAATATTGCAGTCCCCACGAGTAACATTGTTCTGGAAAAGTGCGTCACTTTCTTCGCACTCTCTAGCGCCAACTATTGGTCAATAATAAAACGAACATTTTATTATATATGTATTCAATATATTACTATTTACTTATAATTATATATTACTTTATAAAATAAACAGAAATAAGTTGTGAGTGTGTGTGAGTGTGAGGGTGAAGAGTCCGGCTCGGTTCGTGTTCGCAGAGACTCCGAGAGCACCGTCACGCGCACCGACAGCAGCACCGTGCAGCATCGCGCGCTCGCAGACATGTCTCCGGCAGAACCGAGTCCCCGCGGATCACATCATCTCCATCTTCACGAGCAACAGTCAGCGACAGCGAGCGACTCGAAACACGAGACACGTCCGTCTGATATTTACTGCCCCGTGTTATAACATCAACATTAGTTCCGAGCGCGCATCGAATAAAATCATTACAACCTGACCCTGAATAATAAAAGCTTTGATAAGTGTATAAACGCAGTACACGAAGCAAGCTTTTTTTTGTGGTAATTATATAATAAATAAAAAGAAAACAAATATAGAATAGAAAAAGCTAGTTAGAGGCCTTTTTTTAAATTTATTTATTTTTTAGAAGAGAAAACAAATAGAGCAAGTCTTAAAGGGTAACGTATTTTTTATTTAATAAAAAAGGAAAGAAATAGACAAAATAGAATTAGAACAGAGCGTGCTAGAGGTAGAGGGTCATATAAAGACGGACTGTTTATTATTATTATTATTATTATTTTTACTTGGCAAGTTCAAAAGACTTTTATTTTGCCCCTCCGTTCCGCTGTCGCGTTGTGACGTCATACACTCTGCGCCGCGACGTTTTCCTCCTGCTGTTACTCGGCTGATGTGTTGTTTGTGTTTTGAGCTCTTAAGCAGTGTATAAAACGCACAGAATGTGTGCCCGTTATTTCTCTGAGCAAAGCGCATCTTAGGAACAGAGTGGTTCACTCATCCCTAGTTTCTGGTGACTATATCTTAAAAGCTGACAAAGAAAAGTCTCCAGGCAAGCTCTGTGTGCTGTGAAGATGGAGTTAGTTAAAGTGGAGCTCGTGGACATGAGTGCTCCAGAACCCTGCGGAGTGAAAGATGAAGATGCCGAGGAACAGACAGGTTGCTGTCCATTTATGATTCTTGGTGATTAATGAGAAACATTAAAGTAAGGTTGTTGCAGAGCTGATTTTATCCAAAGCAAGACAGGTTTAATGTGAGGTGCATGCTTTATCTGTGAGAACTGAATCATGACCGTGTCATTGCTATGTTCTGCTGAACTAAAGACATACAGTTATACACTTTAAGCACATTTTCCAGATTTGAAAATCATAAAAGATGCATAATTAAACATTCTGATTCTAACAGAGAAATGGACTAAATGTAAATTGCATTAACATTGCATAAGAAGTAGTGTTAACATGCAGCATAGTTTGTTATCAGAAGACGCTTTAAAATGTTAAATGTATCAGTTGAAATTAACACACTGTAACAAAGAACAATACTTCTACAGCTTTCGTTAATCTCAATGTTACAAATGGAGTCTTATTGCAACATGTTGTCGTTTCAGAGAAAGTGAAATCGTAGAGCCACAGAAAGACAAACGTTTTGCTGAAAAATGCACAATACGCAGAAGCCGCGTCCCAATTCGTAGGCTGCATCAGTCGAAGTGCGTATTTGAAGGCCGATTGCGTCACGGCGAAGCTGCCGCAATTCAAAGCGACTTCAAATCAGAAGGATCCTTCGCAGCCCACCCTATCCCAGAATTCATAGCGCGCCGGTGACCACGGGACTTTAATTCAAACAAAATAGCGGGTGATTGTTCTGTGGCGGGCCACGAATACACTTCTAAATGTAAGTATTGTGTTTTAAGTTACTCAAATAGCTAGCGAAACCAATGTCAAAAGTCAGGTCTTAAAGGAACACTCCACTATTTTTGAAAATAGGCTAATTTTCCGACTCCCCTAGAGTTAAAGGTTGAGTTTATACTGTTTTCGAATCCGTTCAGCCGATCTCCGGGTCTGGCGGTAGCACTTTTAGCTGTAGCTTAGCATAGATCATTG